ATGCTCATTTGTGTCAAGAGAGTCGCCATATTTTCAGCCATTGTGTTAGAAGGATCAAGAGGCACTGAGTGCACCACTGGAGTGATAGGTGCATTCCTAGTTGTCCATCCCGAATTCTGCGCCATCTTGTCAAGCAAATTCTGACCTTCTATCCAAGTTTTGCTCAAGAATGCCCCACCAGCAGAGGCATCTACAATATTCTTCATGCTGTCAGACAGTCCCATGTAAAACCGTGGTCCCAACATCTGTTCTGGAACACCGTGGTGGGGACACATAACCAACATTCCTTTAAACCTGCCCCATGTCTCGTGTAGTGTCTCCATTGGTTTCTGTTTGAAACTTACGATCTCATCAATTTGTTGAGCAGTTTTGTTGGGCGGGTGGAACTTGTTGTGAAATTGCTTGACTAACTCATCCCAAGTTTCTATAGAGTTTATGGGGAGCGAGTTTAGCCAAACCTGAGCAGCTCCTGCCACCGAGAATGGAAACAATAATAGCCTGATTGCTTCCGGAGTCGCGTTGGGTTGCCTTTGAGTTTTGCATATAGACAGGAAGTTCTTCAAGTGCTGCTGAGGATCTTCTGTTTGTGTCCCAGAAAAGAGTCCCTTGTTTTGCAACAAGTGTAGCATGTTATTTGTGATCTGGAACGATTCAGCTTGTATTGCGGGCACAACAATGGCAGTGGCCAGATTGTCAGCTGTGGGTTGTGCCCAGTCATATAGTGCACCCTCAGGCACAGGAGGTGCCACTTCTCTGGCATTTAAGCCAACTTGCTCATTCCTGACGTTTCCATTGAGATCGTTTACGTCTCCCATGTCAATTTCGAATTTGTGTGTTTGTTAGGATTGTTGAAGTCTTTTGTTGGCACAGTTCAATGTCCGGAATGTCTTCTCGGGGTCTGAGAGTCCTTCAAGTAGTTATCCAGTCCTCGTAGAATTTCTAGGCATACACCTGTGCAACCAGATCAACAACCGTCAAAATTTCAATGGAAAATTGGGTAGAGAGAAAACTGACCACACTAAGAATTTTTGTATTTATATCAATGGTAATTGATAATTCCGTTAACTCACCGGCAACGGCGCCAAAATTTGATCACGCCCAACTATGCCCTCTAATAAAGACTCTGCGGACGTTGCAAATATAACCCAAGTATTACGCCCAGGGTCGAATCCACAGAGAGTTAACCTATCAATCACTATCTTTAGACCCACTAAACTCTTAAGAACCAGTTTTCCAGATGTTTGAATTACATTTGAAGGTCGCTTTACTAACTACGATTGCAAGTAAATTAAACAGTTGTAAACTAAAATGCTAAGGTTGTAAACAATGATGAGAAGAAGCTAAGGCAATGATTTCCCCTATTGAAGGAATCCCTTCTGTTTATGCTCATACAAATTTACCAACACATCTCCATCAATCATGAACGCTCATCTTACCGTAAATCTCTCCCGAGTAATCACAGTAATATACTAATTGCACTCTCCCGAGATACACTAGCTTACTTTATTTAGCACAATTCACTTTAGATTACACCCAAGGCTTTGTTATCCCTAATCCCGCCTTTAAACCCGCGATTATAGATTCCTCTTATACTTTGGGAGTGGTGTTGTTCAACAATAACCTAAATATGCACTCTTTTCCAAGTTATGCACACTAAATAGGCACAGCTAATTGAGGATCCTGTCAATTAACTACAACAAGCACAAAGTTGAACAAATAGAGATTGAAACTAGCAATTTGCATTCACATAACAAGATGTTCATCCCCCAATAGGTTCCATCAAAGCCTTAGACAAAGGATTTAGCTACTCATGGCTATGGGAAGACAAGCTAAGATAGAATTCATCATAACTAGCAATAAAAATCAAAGAAAAGAAGAACTATGTTTTTGGGTATTCTCTCGCAATAGTTTTTCTTGCCAAGATACTCTAAAATTCAATACATGCCTCTCTTGGGCGAATTCTCGTATTTAAACTAGGGTTTAGGTCTAAAAATCCCGTGTTTTACACTTTAGTCCCTGAAGTTTTCTGCTTCCGCCGCGGTTCTGCCGCGGTCGCGGTCAAACCGCGGCCAAATGCCTTCTCTGAATCTCATTTTATCTGTAGCTCTCTTCCACCGCGGTTCTACCGCGGTCGCGGTGGAACCGCGGTCAACACAGCTCTCTGAATCTTTAGGCCTGTTTTGCGTGGTTTACTTGGGGAATTTCACAGTTGGCCTCTTTTTCTTCATTTTTGACTCCAAAAGTACTCCCTAGCCTTCCCTGGTCATATATCACCTGCAAATCATGAAAAGCACTAATAAGAGCATTTTGTTATCACTTTTATCATCAAAACTATACAAGAAGGTGGCTATTTAAGGCGTGATTATAGTTAAATTCACCTATTATATTATCAGACAACGATTTAGAGTATTTCAAATTTTCGAAAAATTTCAAAATTCATCTTAAAAGTGAAAATTAAAGATTTTATGACCAAACGCTGATTACGAAAAAAAACTTTTTTTTTTTTTTGAAATAGGGTGAAAATTTTGTATGGCCAAAGGGGCCCTTAATTGAGGGTTAAGAAGTGCTTATCCCTCTGCAATAATATCTGTTGTTGCCCTTNTTAGGTTGAGTGAGTTAGAAGCTTTTCAGATCTAAAAATTTATGAAAGAATCTTGCTCAAATTCGAGTGGGTGCTATTGAAATTAATTGATTATAGTCCAAGAAGCTTCAACCTAGAGATTTAGTTCAGTTGGACTACTTTGCAACTCTTTGAGAATGTATTTGGTGAGGTAGAATTGGGGAAAGAACTGGGTTCTTGATTTTTGTTGAAATTTCTTCAAGATTGAAATTCTGGACTGAAAAAGCGGAACTGGGTTCTTGATTTTTGTTGAAATTTCTTCAAGATTGAAGTTCTAGACTGAGATTTTAAGCCTATTGTAATTTATGAGTTTTTTTAATAGACCTGAGGAAGATGTATTTTGGTGAAAAAATCAAATGGGTATTGATTAATATCAGTGAAATTATTTGGGTGAAGCTAAAAATATTGAAAAAACTTTTAGTAACTTGAATCTAGAGTATTGGGTTGATTGAGCATAATTAACATTGGTTTTGAGAATCATACCAGTTGAAAAAGGAAATTGAAGGTGAAATTCAGTTTTCGTATACAACATTATACATCATTATACAATATTATACAGCGTTATACAAAAATATAATAAGTGTTTAATATTGTATAATGTTGTATATTAGGTGTGTAAATAGTGTTATACAACATTATTCTTTCTATTCGCGATTTCTGTTCGACTTTGGTGCGGTGGTCTTTCTCTTTGAAGTAAGTTCCCCTTTCACATGTGCAGTTAAAGCTAATTTTGCTTTTTGTGTTGGTGAAATACTAGAATACATTATTATACATTCCATATACGAGTTTATACTAAGTTATACATTTTTATAATGTACAACATATGTTGACTTAAAACTGAAATTAAATTTTTTCTTACTTTTTCTCGAACAATCGATGTATAAAGTCATTTTTTTGTTGATTTCTCTGCCAACTTGCGAATTTGTAGCAATTTTTTTCAATTTTATTTTTTATTTCTTTTGTTTATGCTATTTAGAACTTGGGACATAAAAAAATTTAGATTTTTCTCAAGTTGCATTATAGTTGGTTTGCATTGTTGTAATTGCAATGCAAACATATAGATCTGTAATTGCATTGGTGTGCAAAGAATAAAAAATTACATATAGATCTGTAAAGTTATATCCAGACATGATGTCATATAGTGAGACTTTCATAGGCTATATGGATGAAAACTTTAAATGATGGTTATGCGGATGAAAAGCACCTACGCTGACTGTACTTTTAATGCAATTATCCCTTTATTTTTCAAGTAGAAATCTTTTCTTTAATATTTCATTAATAATACTTGTGCTTTCTATTTTACATTTATTAAAGTTTCTGACATGTGAAGTTTGGGATATTAACTTTTTTATGTCATATATGAGGCAATAGAGGCACCTAATGCTATTTATTTTCCTTAAAACAGAAATATGCAAATGTAAGTATTTACAAATATGTCAGCAGCACTTCATGCCTATGTCACTTATATTTATAAATTGCATTTATTGGTATTAATTAATAATATTCCTTGGTGCGACTTCAGAGAATATGTACTATGACCAAGTCTAACAGTTGTAGACAATATACTCGAATTTCAAGTGAAAATAATAATATATAAAACAATTAAATATTAATTTAATCAAAGATCAAAGATATAGTAACACAAAGCAAAGACGACCCAAGTCAATCTATGCAGAGACCTAACATGTCAGAGTATTATTTCTTCTCTATTTGCAGTTACCTTTTGACTTGGGTAAGTAATAATTTCCACCAATATTTCTTTATTAATTAAGATTAAACTATTCTAAAGCTGATATGTAGCTTTCTACTCTGTCCATTTTACTGTATATGATATTTTTCTAATTTTTCTCTTATTCTTTCAGAGAAAAATGACATATTCTTATATTTGAAAAGTCTTACAATAGTAAATCCAGTAAAATCCCTTATAAGAATATAATAGGTACGCAATTCGATGGCGGAGGTAAAATTTTAATAAGTTAAAATTTTACGTAAAAGAGATTGTGACTAGAGGGATTTGAACTAGTAGTCTTATAAATGTTTTGACCCCCTTAACCACTAAGTTATACTTTTCTATTAATCTATTATGTCAAAGAAATTCAAAATATAATATATAGAGGTACGGAATAAATTTTGTTTTATATGTACAATGTAATTTACGACAAATAGGATCCGGATTAATCCCCTTCCGCCCCTTAAATCCGTCCCGCTTATGCTCATAAATAGAGAAAGGATTTGAAAGCTATTATAAGTTCAAAATTATGCATTTCACCTTTAAAATATGCACTTATAATCATAATAATGTATATCATGATTAAAATTAGAAGTTCTAAAGGTTTTTCTTAAATGTGTCAAAAAAAAACTTCAATTTTAATTCCATGTGTAGAGACTAAAATTGTCTTAAATTAAGATCAAGATATCCACATTGAACCATGAAAATGAAAGGATGTGACATGATGATGGGAAAATTATACATGGAAACTTATATTCTTGACACATAATTCCTTCATCTCCTTAACTCAGAAAAAGGAGATTAGCTTAAACTATGAACAAGATGTTTCCCAATTTACCCTTCCTCTACTTCTCCTAATCTAAACCCTTAGGTGAAATTACCAAAAAGGGCCTGGTACATTACACTACATTGCTTTCAATGAAAGACTCAAGGGTTGGAAACCCAGAAAAAGAGCCAAAATCAAACCCACATGAACCACCGTCAACCTCGACATCCGGCGGCGGAGTAGAGGCGGCGACTGACCCGACTGCTGTAGTGGGGTCCACTATCTGCTGTTGTTGAGCGACGTGGTCCAATAGGAAAGCTGACGTGTCAAGCGTTGGCAAAAAACAGCTACCAGGTTGTAGCCGGCTAACAACACGCTGAGGTTCAGGTTTCAGAACATGAGCAACCGGCAGCTGCCCGTTCCCGCCGCCGGTCACCTGCTGCACCATATCCCGGAAATTATCCACGTCAGCTGTTATATATGTCGTCGTATTGCGCCTTGAAGCACGTGACTTCCTCTTTGATATCTTCCCGCTTATTGTCTCGTTCTCAGACCCACCCGAAACAGTCCGACCTGAACCGGTCGAAGTCTGAACCGGGGTCGTCTCCGGCTTTTGGGTGGACAGAGATTTTTGGAGCAATTTGGTTAACGTACTTTGTGTTTCTCTGGAAAATACGTCGGGAAACCAAGAATCAGCAAAAGCAGAACGAAAAGCCCATGGCTCCATAGTCATTAAATTGTCAGATGCAGCCATTTTTCAAGATTTTCAGTACAGAAATGAACTTAAACTAGTAGGGCTAAATTAAGCTCAAAAAATTCCAACTTTGAGTAATAAAACTTGTTCGATAGCATTTTCTTTAGAGAAGATCGACTGGGTTAAGAGTTGCAGAGTGAAGTGAAAAGAGCAGAAGATATGAATATGAACAAATATGAAAGGAGGAGGAAGTAATGGTTGATATATAATTGGGAGCTTAGAGTAGGAGGGAAGGAACCGCGTTTTTGGGGGACACGTGTCAGCCTATGTGTACGGACAGCAATGACTCGAAAGTAGGTTGTGCATAATTTGATAAATACCGAATTATCGTACCGAAATCGAAAACTTTGGTATACGGTATTTTGGTATTTGGTATGGTATTTGCTTTAAATTTTAAAAAAAATGGTATTAGGTATGGTATTTGGTATTTTGAAATAAAATACCGAAATACCGATACCGTACCGAAATATATATTATATTACGCAAAACATATATTTATCAAGTATAACATATATATAAAAAATCTAATATTTTACTTTCCTTTATTGTTTAAGTTCATCAATTAACTCTAAACAAGTAATGAGATATTTTCTAATGATCAAATATTCTTTTACGTACAATTTTCTCTATTTGGGTCGATATTTGCTAGTTTTGGACAAAATTGATGTCAACAAACATTTTCAGTTTTGTATTTTTGAGTACTTTAATTAAGAATATTAGAGTATATGGTTGTATGCACTAGTTAGTATTCAAACCGAATAAACCGAAGTTACCGAACCGAATAAACCGAAACCGAAAGGAGAAAAACCGAACCATACCGAATTTAATTAGGTACGGTATTGGTATAGAATTTTAAGAAACCGAATACCGAAAATACCGAACCGAAATATCTAAATATCGTACCGTGCCGACCGACGAACCCCCTCCTCGAAAGAGTACAGACAAACTTGGGTTATCATTTTATTTTGACGGTCGAGTTTTCTCAAATAAAATTGACTTTTCTATTTATGGGCATTGATGACTGCCTAAGAATTACAAACGTTTAAGGGAAAAGGGGCAGCCAAAAAAGTCAACAAAAGAATAGGACAGAAAAGCTTATACTAAAATGACATAACGAAACAAGTTTTTTTTTCATGGAGTGTTTAACATGTAATTAGATTTTAGTGCGTACTGATATATATTTTATCGAGGATATAACCCTTAACTAGAAGGTGTGAAGGTCGAGAATTAGGGTACGAAGATAGTGAGTAGTCGAACATTCTTCTTTTCCACATTAGTACGTAGTATTAGTACGCATCTTACTATTTGGATGTATAGTTATGGTTTCTTTTTATGGCTTTTACACTATCGTATTTTTTTTATTTTATTGTTGTGCTTATGATTTTTTTGAACCGGGAATCTATTGGAAACAGCATCACTACCTCCACATGGGTAGAGTAAGGTTTGTATACACACCACCATCTTCAGACCCTATTATATGGGATTAAACTCGCTTAGTTATTATTATTTTCGTAGTGATGTGAAATTTTGACAAGTTAATGGCCCTGATAGAGCAATTGATGTTCAATCAGTTTATTACATTCAGCATATATATTGTTCCATTTATTTTTTAATTCGATAAAACGGTTTATGTGGACACCTGTTAATCAGCTGTACTCTATAATAATCGTAGATATGCCTTTAAGTTAGACTATGACATATTAAATATGTATAGTTTTCTAAAGAAAAAAAACACATAAGGCATTGATTTAAGACCAAAATAACACATAGTCCACCAATTACATTTTACGTGATGTACTATTTTCTTAATTTATTCAAAAGAGAATTAAATGTTTTAATATTTTGCAGGCATATTTTTATAGTTACAAAATTATCATGGCATATTGTTTACTATAAATTTTATTTTGGATTACATGTCCAATGAAATACTTCAAAGGAATGGAATAACGTGGAATTAAGTTGACTTATTAAGATAAAAATAACATGGAAATATATTCTAGTGGTCACAATTCAGGAAATTAGGTAAGGAAGTCAAATAATCAAATATATAGAGTACAGCCCTCAAGCTGTTGAAAATGACAACTAAATCCAATGAGCTAAAAAAGTAAAAAGGCAAAAGATAAAAAAAGAGATCCTACCATTAATTAGATAGTGTTATAAAATAATAAAAGAAGTAAAAGAATATTGCAGAGAAAAAGAGAGAGAAGATTCTTATTGATATTGGGATGAATTACAATGGAATAAAACCCTTTATTTATAGGGAGAGGTTGACTTCACCAAGTAACAAACCCTATAATCTCTCTAAATATGGACATTCACCATAAATAGAATTCTATTTATAACACTCCCACTGAATGTCTATTCAACAGATAATGTGCCTCTTTAAAACCTTAACTAAAAGAAAACCCAATGGAAAAAAATTCTAGAAAAGGAAAAAGAGTACACATGTTTAGAAATGCGCCTATTGGTTGCCTCGTTAAAAACCTTGCAAGGAAAACCCAGTGGGACAAAACCTTGTAAGGGAAAAGAGTGCAACGCGCATTAACTCCCCCTGATGAGAGCATCAATTCACATCCTTGAGCCTTCGCACCGATCTTATAAACTAGCTTCTTGAAGATTGACGTTGGTAGAGATTTTGTGAACAAATCAGCCATATTATCACTTGAACGAATCTGTTGCACATTGATATCACCATTCTTTTGAAGATCATGTGTGAAAAATAACTTTGGTGAAATGTGCTTTGTCCTATCTTCTTTTATGAATCCTCCTTTCAATTGAGCTATGCATGCTGCATTATCTTCATACAAAATTGTGGGTAACTTGTCACATTTCACACCACATTTGTCTCGAATAAGATGTATCATAGACCTCAACCACACACATTCTCGACTTGCTTCATGAATAGCAATTATCTCAGCATGATTAGATGAAGTAGCCACAATTGATTGCTTAGTCGATCGCCAAGATATGGCAGTGCCTCCACAGGTAAATACATAACCTGTTTGAGACCGAGCCTTGTGCGGGTCAGATAAATACCCAGCATCAGCATAACCAACAAGATTGGGACTGCAATTGTTGCCATAAAATAAGCCCATATCGGTAGTCCCTTTTAGAGACCGCAATATGTGTTTGATTCCATTCCAATGTCTCCTTGTGGGAGCAGAGCTATATCTTGCTAAGACATTAACTGAAAAAGTTATGTCAGGCCTTGTAGTATTGGCAAGATACATTAGTGCACCAATTGCACTAAGATATGGTACTTCAGGACCAAGTAGCTCTTCATTCTCTTCTTGAGGTCGGAATGGATCCTTATTCACATCAAGTGATAACCATCGGAGTACTTAATGGATGTGCTCCATCCATGTAAAACCGTTTCAGTACCTTTTCTATGTAGGTAGATTGATGAACAAAAATTCCGTTTGCCAAATGTTCAATTTGCAAACCAAGACATAATTTTGTCTTTCCGAGATCTTTCATCTCGAATTCCTTCTTTAAATAATCAATTGCCTTTTGGAGTTCTATAGGAGTTCCAATAAGGTTTATGTCATTAACATATACGGCAAGTACAACAAATTCCGATGTTGTTTTCTTTATAAAAACACATGGGCAAATGGCATCATTTATATAGCCTTCCTTTAATAAATACTCACTAAGACGATTATACCACATTCGTCCTGATTGCTTTAGACCATACAAAGATCTTTGCAAATTGATTGAAAACATTTCCCGGGACTTTGAATTATGTGCGTTTGGCATTTTAAATCCATCGGGAATTTTCATGTATATCTCATTATCAAGTGAGCCATAAAGGTAGGCGGTAACCACATCCATTAAATGCATATCAAGCTTTTCATGGACAACAAAACTAATAAGATAACGGAACGTTATAGCATTCCATAACGGGTGAATATGTCTCTTCATAATCGACACCAGGCCTTTGTGAAAATCCTTGTGCAACAAGGCGTGCCTTATATCTTTGTACCTCATTTTTCTCATTTCTCTTGCGTACAAAGACCCATTTATAGCCAACAGGCTTAACACCATTAGGTGTTTGGACTACAGGCCCAAAAACTTCACGTTTCGCAAGTGAGTTCAACTCTGATTGGATTGCTTCTTGCCATTTTGGCCAATCACGTCTTCATCGACATTCTCCAACAGACTGAGGTTCAAGATCCTTACTTTCTTGCATAATGCTAGATGCAACATTATATGCAAAGACATAATCCACCACTATATCCATTCGATTCAAATTTGTCTCAATATCGATTGGATTTATTGATAGTTCCTTATTTTCTTGAGTCTCGGGCTCAGTGGATTCCTCATGAATCTCAGAATTTATTAAATTGTGGATTTCTTCATGAGATTCTTTCGTAGTGTCGTTTTGATCATTTGTTTTCCTTTTTCTAGGATTTCGATCTTTGGAACCTAATGGTCTGCCACGTTTAAGGCGTGCTTTTGACTCATTAGCTATGACACTAGAAGATTGTCCAATAGGGACATCAATACGGATTGGAACATTCTCCGCAGGGATATGTGATTCTGTTATCCTTTTCATATCCGTAAATGCATCTCGCATTTGATTTGCTATTCTCTGCAAATGAATAATCTTTTGCACCTCTTTTTCACAAATTGAGGCGCATGGATCAAGATGAGATAATGATGGATTTTTCCACAAAATTTCCCGTTTGGTTTCACCACCTTCTCCCCTTAATTTTGGAAAAAGTGTCTCATCGAATCGACAATCCTCAAATCGAGCAGTGAATAAATCCCCCGTTAATGTTTCAAGATAGCGAATAATGGAGGGCGATTCAAACCCAACGTATATTCCTAACCTTCTTTGCGGACCCATTTTGGTGCGATATGGTGGTGCTACAGGCACATATACTGCGCATCCAAAAATTCTTAAATGGGATATATTAGGTTCATGACCCAAAACTAATTGCAACGGGGAATATTTATGATAATTTATCGGTCTGAGACGAACTAGCATCGCTGCATGCAAAATGGCGTGACCCCAAACAGAAGTGGGTAACCTCGTTTTCATGAGTAACGGTCTTGCTATCAATTGCAGACGTTTAATTAAAGACTCTGCAAGACCATTTTGAGTGTGAACATGAGGTACAGGATGTTCCACTTTTATCCCAATTGATAAGCAATAATCATTAATTGCT